AGCCTTTGCATTCCAATTGCCAGCAATTATCAGCACATCTTGATTGCAATTTTTTTTTATCAATTTCAGATTAAATACATTGGTAGAATTTATCAATTTCATCATCACTGGCTTTAGCGGTTGATGTGTAATCTGAATAATAGTTGTATTCACTGGTCTTCCTTGTAGGCGTATGGTTATTATCCTTTCACAGACAGCATTGTCCTTCAAAACAGATCTTGATATGGTCTTTTTGATGATGAATGTGAAATCATTCCTCTTTAGTTTGTCATTCCAGACATAGTAAAGCATGTATTTGTCAGATTCAAAATGGCCAATACCAGTGTATTTCAGCTCACTAATGCCTAGGATATCGATGTTTATGTTTTCCATGTCATTTTTGACAACTTCCAATTTTCCTAAATTCATACTTCGTACAGTCCATGTTCTGATTATTAATGGATGTTTACAGCTTTTTCTCCTTATTTTGAGATGTGCCCCATGAGCAAATGAAGATCCCAAAGGCTTTACTCCATTTGAGTCATCATGGTCAACTCTGTTTTGAGGAGGCAGCTCTCTCCCCGTCATATTTTGAGTGCCTTCCAACTTGAGACACTCATCTTCCAGCACTATATCTGACAGTATTCTGGTGCTTTTCATCATGTTTCAGTATTCAATATTCTGGTGCTGACAGTGTTCCACTGCTATTCATAAGGTTTTCAATGACTAAATATTCAGAGATTGTCCATCTCTCCTCCTTCCTAGTATGTCTTAGTCTAGAAGCTCAGCTGAAACCTGTCCACCATGGGATGGGTGACCCTGCTGGTATTTATAATACCAGTATCATAGCTTTCAGAATCATAGTAACACGCAAGCCACCACAGTATGACAAATTGACTTTCTTTCTTTCTCTCTCCTGTTATTCTGCAATATTCAAATTATTAATTCAAAACAAGTTTTAAATTGCTTCTGAGTGTCTGTTCTGTACTTGGTGCCATGTGAGATCCTGCAAGCAGAGGTAAAAGTCACATATCCCTGAGGAGCCTACAGTCTTAGGACAGAGATTATGAACAAGTGGGGTGCAATGTATTAAGAAGAGTGATGGATGAGCACAGCTTCCCAGAAGAAGGGTCCAGCACTACCTCTGGAGAAACTGATAAGTGAGACGAGATTTGATGGTTTAGTGAGAGTCATCCAGCCAGAGGGCAGGTGGTAGACCCCAGGCTGGAAGAAGTACATACACAGGAGCATGGTGCTAAAAGGAAGCCGTGGGTAGTTTGCTATGGCTGGAGTGTGTGGTGGCTGTGGGCACGTAGTGAGAAGCAGGGTTGTAGGTGGGAATTAGAACACACGGGACTTGTGAGAACCTCATGAGGGTGGACAGGCACTAGGAGGCTTTCAGCAAAAGTTCTGAGAAAGGAGACATCTGTGACTACAGTCAGTCAAATAGGAGGCTTCTTAAAGGAAGAGGAGTCTCTGAATGATGCATACGGTTATCGCTCTCAGCTGCTAACTGAAAGGTTGGAAGGGTGAGTCCACCAAGTTCCCCAGAAGAAAGACCTAGCAGTCCAGTTCTGAAAATCCTGTGGCATCCAGTTCTACTATGACACACATGGGATCGCTATGAGTCAGAATTGACTCGATGGCAACTAGCTTTAAAGGAAGAAGTTTCTGGATTTTAAGGTTGTTTGAGTAAGATTTCAAATTCCATGTCTGTCTTTGTTAGCTTTTTAAGAGTCTTACTGTGGTGGGGAGTGAGTGGAGGCCTAGAGACCAGGTCATTGGAATTGCTCCTTTAAATGAGATGTGTGTTTTCCCCACAGACTCTGTACTGCTGTAAGTGAAAATTGCTGAGAGAGTTGGCTTATGGGTATGCTTATAATAGCTCCCCCAGAGTCCTGGCTGTGAACGCTGATAAACTTCTTCTTCACAGCTGTCCAGGAACCCCCGGGATGTGTAGCTTCCTGAGGCCCAGTTCTGTGGAGGAAGGATGGGAGCAGAAGAGCAATAGCAAATTTACAGTTCCCTTTTGTTCATTTCTGTTTGCTTCTATCCAGACTAACTGAGGGAATAAATCTGCATGACATCAAGAAGCTGAGGCATTTGTCTCCTGAGTCATCCTCAGGGAAATGGGGCATCTGGTTAATTGAATTCTATGGCACCAATTGAGTTATCACAGTGGCAAAGGATGGATGTGCCAGAACTTAAAGCATTAAGATGTTAACAGAATGTGCTTAATACTAACACTTCACAACGAGAATTAAATCTTTCTGTGAGAACTCAAAAGGAAATTCAGTAGTTGACAAGGCCTGACTCATTGTAATGAGTGTCGGTTTTCATTGGTGAGGATTTTAGGCATAAGAGGTGCTAGAGTTGGGACTGGATCAACAACATCATACATGTCTTGACTCCAAACCTTTTACCAATTAGGACTGCCAGATTAAGCAAATAAGTAATATAATTCCCACTTAAATTTATATTTCAGATAAGCAATGAATAATTTTTAAGTATAAGTATTAGCTTACATAAATATTATCCAATATCCTGACATTAGAATTTAACCGGGCATCCTGTATTTTATCTAGCAACCCTGCTTCCAATGGCTACAAATTTAAGACCAATTTCTAGCATCCAGTCCTCCAGGATTTAGCACCTTCCTGACTTTCTTTCTCATTTCCCACTCATTGTTCCCTTTGATAAGGTGCCTGATGGTGCAGTTGGTTAAGCATAGGGCTACTAACTAAAAGGTAGGCAGTTCAGACCCAACAGCCATCACATGGGAGGAGGATAAGATTACCTGCTCTCATAAAGATTAAAGTCTCAGAAACCCTAAGAAATAGTTGTACTCTGTCCTACAGAGTTGAATCTACTCAACAGCAGTAGGTTTGTTTTTTGTGGGGTTTTTTTTTTTTTTTTTTTTTTTTTTTTTTCCCTTTCATAAGATCTGCAATGGTTAGGGTTTTGTGTCAACTTCAGTAGGCCAGGATTTTCAGAGATTTAACAGTTGGAATGTGCTTATTCCCATGGTGATGAAACCTAATACAACATAGTTAGCTCTATGATAAGCAGGTATAAACAGCCAATCAATTGAAGGGATGCTTTTTTAGGGGTGTGGCCTGCTTCCAATATAATGGACATGAGGGAGGGACTCCCTCTCTCTCTCTTTCTCTCTTCTGTTGGGGACCTGGGACTTTACAATTGTAAGATAATAAACTGTCTTTATATGTATACATATATATGTTTCACTGGTTTTGTTTCTCTAGAAAACCCAGCCTAAGACAAGCTCCCTGGGTGATATATTGATTTATACTTAGTTACTAACTAAAAAAGTTGGTAGTTTGAATCCACCCAGTAATACTGTGGAAGAAAAGTCTAGACATATACTTCCATAGAGATGATAGTCAAGAAAGACGTATGGACTCAGTTCTATTCGAAACATATGGGGCTGCCATGAGTAGGAATCTACTTGACAGCAATATGTTCAGGTTTTTTTGGTTTGATTGCCTTTCTTGTACCTGTTTGGTTTCCCAAAAACTCAACTACCTCTTGTGTGTTGCTTTGACTTTTGCTTTCTTTCCCTTAGGCCTTTGCAAACTCCATTTTCTTTACCTTCCATTTTAAATACCATATGTAGGATGTCATCCCTGATTTTCAATCAGGCCAAAACTCTCTCTTATTTAAACATCCTTACTGTCTTTTTTAATAATCTTATACAATTGTAGAGGACACCTACTGCTTTGTGTGCCTACTACCTGGATCCCCTATCCTTTCTTCTGTTAACAGCACCCCTCCTTTTGATAATTGCTCCTCTTCTAAGTTCAATTGATTGTATCAGGAGCTTCCAAGCTCTTACATGGCTCCACCCCCTAATCACAGATAATTGGCACAGAGGTGGACACTAATCCAAGTCAGATCCTACCCTAAGAGTTTCTATAAGTCATTTTATCTGGCACCCAATCTAGAAAACTGTCCATTGGTTCTGACTTATAGCGACCCTTGTTTAGAGTTTCTAGGAAGTGGTCAGTGGGTTTGAAACACCGACTTTGCGGTTATCAGTCCAGTGCTTATCCCACAGTACCACACCAGTTTCCAAGCAACAACAATCTCATCATAGGTACTATATGTTTATACAATTACACTTGCTAACACGTCCTGAGGGAGGCCTGGACTCTAGCCACCGCTCAGTCACACCTCTCTGCAAGACTCATTGCCTCAACAGATCATTAGCTCTTTGAGGGCAGAATCACGTCTTACTCTTCTTTGTCTCCTGAGATATGTACATTTTGTAGGTATCAGATAAATGGTACAGAATGATGATGATAGTGATGGCAACAGTGACGTAGCAAGTCACTACCCATCTCTAGGCCTCAGCTTCCTTTACTATAAAATTGGGGGGTTGTATTCAATGAACTCTTAGAGCTCTTCCAATCAAATATTCTGTCCTCACTAGCACCAATACTAAAAGCCTTTGATGACTGCCCCTCAAGACCAGTACTGAACATTAAACCAAGATTATCATGATTATCAAAGACCATATTAACTGCCGGGACCTATATATAGCCAAAGTGTCTACACATTTTCTAAGGGATTACCAAAATGTGTGAGACCAGAAAAATAATATGCAATAAAAATATGAGGACCTCTGGTGTGGCACTGCTGGATAAGCACTGGACTGTGAACCACAAGGTTAGCAATTCAAATCCACTAACTGTTCCTTGGAAACCCTATTCAAGGTCGCTATTAGTCAGAATCAACTTAATAGCAGTTAACAGCAACAGAAGGAATACATCAAAATCAAAAATTTTAAATGTTTAATTAAAGCATGACATTATATCCACTAGCCAACTGCAAGTCAAGCTACAGAATTACATAATTTTAATACGTTCAAATTGCAAGACTAAATATTCTTTAAAACTCAAACTTAGAGACTTAGTGTGGGATATGAGATTTGGCGTGGGTTGGCAATATTTTCCACCTTGCTCTTACTAAATCTACACCTTGTACAAACGTCTGTTATGGCAATGGTCACACTGTTTGCACAACTGAGGTGTGCCAACATGACTAGTAGAATGTGAGGTGATTTTAGGTGGGACACAGTTGAACGTTTTTATGTTAATATTTATCTTAACATTTATCAGAACACTACTGATAGAAGTTTTCACTTAAAGAAAAATATTACATAAAGATTAATGCAAATGACACACATATATAACCAAAAAGAGGAAACATAAAGGTAGTATGAGAATGGATTCGTTCTGTGACCCATTTTGAGTATGATGACCTGCTTATGCTTTAAGACATTTGCAGGCCAGGCCCAACCCTCTCTAATCTGGTACAAGAACATCTTTGCATATAGGGTGCAACATATAGTATCCTCCTTCCCTCTATAAAATTAGCACATTTCAGAAACCTTACATTGAAATTTAAAACTTGTGTTCAAAACAAGTTTATTTAAACTCCATACTAATACTTACTATTCACCAGACTACAACAGCAGTTTTTAGCCTTTAAAAAAAAAAAAAAAAAATGAGAGCCTCCAAGCTAACTACTCTCCTACTCCTTGGAAACTAAGATCCTCTCCCAACATATCCTGGGGCAGCCTTCTGAAAAAAGATTGTGGTGGTGGTTATGTGCTGTGGAGTCGGTTCCAACTCATAGCGACCCTGTACAGGGTTTCTGAGACTCTGGTAGCGTAGTGGTTACGAATCGGGCTGCGAGCCTCGAGGTCAGCAGTTCGAAACTACCAGCTGTTCCGCGGGAGAAAGATGGGGCTTTCTGCTCACGTAAAGATTTACAGCCTCGGAAACCCTATGCAGGGTCACTATGAGTCGGAACTGACTCCACGGCACATAACAACAACAACAACAAATCTTTACAGGAGCAGAAAGCCTCATCTTTCTCCCGCGGAACAGCTGGTAGTTTTGAACTGCTGACCTTAAGGTTCGCGGCTCGATTCGTACATTATACTACGTGCAATCGTACTAAATTCACAAGGGAGCAATTGAAATTTCTCATCAACGTCTTCAACTACTAACCATACCCAAACTATACCACTAGACGGAAGCTTGCTTTAGAAAGCAGTATCGAAGAGTCCAGAATCCAGATTTGGTTTCAGAATCGGACAGCTAGACATCTATTCCAGAAAAGATTAAAACCTAACGATGCATTAAAACCCAGCCAAGAACACAGGCAAGATAACCCGGAAGAAAGAAGTCAAGTCAGACGCTGTTGTACCTACTATAACACATCTCAATTATGCACCTTGATGAAGGCGTTTAAGAACAACCCTGATCCTGGGATTGACTGTAGAGAACAACTTGCTAAAGAAACTGGGGTTCCAGAATCAAGAATCCAAGTTTGGTTTCAAAATCGAAGATCTAGATTACTTGTCCAGATTAAAGAAGATCCTGGTGAAAACACAGACAGTGAGAATGAGAAACAAGAGAGCCGAGATGACAAAACACAGTATTGAAGCCACATGAGATGAGATGACTCAAACCAGTGACTTAAGTTGTCTGAATTCAGAATGAGCCATGTAGAAACATACCCAGTATCCCTGATGTCATCACTTTCCATCTCTCATTCTTCCTGGAAATGTCTTGTTTCCCCCCCCAGCTGAGAAGCTGAGCCTCTGACAATTGTACTAGAAATTGAAGGAGATCTAGGCATGTGTAAGAGACATCCCACCACCTTCCTAATCTCACCTGACTTAGAGTTCAAGAAAGTTGCAGAGCAATGGAAAAAATTATAAACACCGTTTAAAACTTAAAAACAAAAACCATGAGATGAAGGCAGAGACAATGACGTGGAGAGAAGGAAGGCTGAGGACTCTTAGACTCAGGGAGGGAGAGGTGCAGTATGCTGATGCGGGGGAAGGGAGGGGGGCAGGCGTGCGGGTGTATCCTTTGTTTGTTTGATGATGCATACAGGGGATTGTAGTACAATAGGATGAATCTAAAGATAATGTTTTCCCATGTAAACTATCACATAATTCACAATAAAAAACAAAAATGACAGGGACTGTGAGAATTCCATCAAACACTTTATGTCACAAGTAGAGAACTAATGACTTTGTCCGCATGGTTATGGCTGCCCAGGAGTAAAGACTAGCAAGACTCACAACATCTTAAATCTGTCATGCTGAGAAAATGAAAACTTGTATTTCTATGCGCTGACAAGAAGGCTTCGAGAGACAATCTACCTAAGAGAAAACTGAGGCCCAGCAGTAGAAGCTGAGCTGGGAAGCAAAGAGGGCCCCCACAGAGCCAGGGTGAGGTTACCCATTGAAGGGGTGTGGCCCAAGCAAGCTGTAGAGAAGCTGGGAAGTCCAGGGAGTTTAGGCATGGTGGTGGTTGGTGGTTATGCGCGTGGAGTCAGTTCCGACTCATAGTAACCCTGTACAGGGTTTCCGAGGCTGTAAATCTTTATGGGAGCAGAAAGCCTCATCTTTCTCCCACGGAACAGCTGGTAGTTTCGAACTGTTGACCTTAAGGTTCTCAGCCCGATTCGTAACCGCTACGCTACCAGAGCTCTGTAGCTTAGGCATACAAGGCTCAAAAGCATAATGTTGTTGTTGCTAATATGAGTCAATTCCGACTCTCAGTGATCCTGTATAGAATTTCTGAGGCTGTAAATCTTTAAGGGAGCAGAAAGCCTCATCTTTCTCCCATGGAGCAACGGTTGGATTCCAGCAATTATAAACCGACCCTGCGATTAACAACCCAACTCTAACTCACTATGCTGCCAGGGCTCATGAATGAATGAATGCGCCTCGGTTCCCTCTGTAAAAAGAGCATTCATCTTAAATTAATCGAGACTATGAAATGTTCTGTTGGTGTTAATTCAGCTGTATAAAACTTTCAACTTTACAAATAGGGTAAATATCTTCTCTTATATTCATGAATAAACAAAAGCTTCAGGAGTCAAAGTCAGCAGTGCATAAGAGTGTATGTAAATTTTCTAATTGGAGATTTAAATCAACACGATTTACATCAGGAACCTTCTCCAGCAGCTGTCAGGCTCCCATCACCATGAACTAGGGGCAGCCTGGCCGGGAAGCTGACTCAGGGCCTTTGTCTACACCTTGTGTTCACCAACAGCTCCCTAAAAGGAGTTGGCCAGTCAGCAGACAAATCTCTGATTCAGGCTGGCACCAGACCAAAGAAAGCAAATGCGCTTCAATCATGAGCAAAGGAAAGGAATTGCCCATCTGACAAGATTTCAAACTTCTCAGAAAGAAAGTTGTAGCCATGACATGACTGAACAGTTCCTAAAGAGGTGAAATTCTTTTACTTTGAACTTTGCAGAAAATTGAACCTATGCTATAGAATGAACTATTCAGATGCACACTTTTGTATGGATGTGTGTATTTCTAGGATATTAAACTCAGATTCAAAAATATACATATGAGGGGACTTCAAAAAGTTTGTGGGGAAAATGGAATTAAAAAATAGTGGAATTTTTCCATTAACTTTTTAAAGCCCCCTCATGAGAAATAAAATGGTTGAGCATGAACTGTATCACCTAGGGACCTATTTTTAAAATACACAGCACATATATGTGTGTGTGTGTGTGTTATATGGAGTTTCTGGATGGTGCAAACAGTTATCACAAAAGTGTTGGTAACTCACATCTATCCAGAGGTGACTCAAAAGAAAGACCTGGTAATTGACTTCCAAAAAAATAGTAACTGAAAATTCTATGAAACAGTTTTACTCTGGTATGTATGAGGTTGCCTTGAGTTAGAATAAAATCTATTACAACTGCTTGTTTTTGTTTTTGTTTTTTTTAATATGCATTATATATTAAAATAGGAGCTCTGGTAGCATAATGGTTAAGAATCAGGCTGCTAACCTCAGGGTCATTAGTTTGAAACTACCAGCTGTTCCGCAGGAGAAAGATGATGCTTTCTGCTTCCGTAAAGATTTACAGCTTCAGAAACCCTGTACCAGGTAGCTATGAGTCAGAACCAACTCCACGCATGTAACAACAACAACATATATAATAATATAATAATGTATTATATATAAATGTGTATATATATATATATATAGAGAGAGAGAGAGAGAGAGAGTCCTGGTGTGGCGCTGTGGGCTAATGTGTCAGACTGCAAAGTCGTTTGAACTGTAAGGTTGGTGGTTCAAGCTCACCAGCTGCTCCTCGGAAACCCTATACAGGGTCGCTATGGGTTGGAATAGACTCAACAGCACTTAACAACAACAACACTTTTGTGCATCTGTATATATAAAATACAGGTATTAAAAATATATAATGCACATGTTATTGTTTGTTAAATACCATTGAGTCAGTTCTGACCCACAGCAACCCTGCATAGGGTTTCTGAGGAACGGCTGGTGAGCTTGAACCACCAACCTTGCAGTTCAAACTGACTATATATATATTTGTATTATAAAATAAAAATATCACTCAGATGTAAATGTACATATAAGATAAAAATGTCACTCCAGATAGAAAAATAGCACTCCAGGAGAATTCTGGAGATGACAACCAAACTCACCCCACTAGAAAAGACGCACTAGTGGCGCAGTGTGTTAAGCAAAGTTTCGTTATTCAAACCCTCCAGTCACACTGCAGGACAGAGATGAGGCCATTCGCATCCATAAAGATGTACAGTCTCAGAAATCCTGTGGTACAGGTTGGCTCTGCCCTATAGGGTTGCTATGAGTTGGAATTGACTTGATGGCAGTGGAGTCGGGGTAGATATTGATGAAATCCTTAACTAGATGTGTCTGGTTAGACTTCCTAGGTTCTGTTGTTGTTGTTAAGTGCCTTGGAGACATTTTCAACTTACAGGGTTTCTGAGGAGTGGCTGGTGGGTTTCAACCACTGACCTTGTGGTTAGAAGTCAGGTGCTTATCCAACAGTGCCACACCAGAAAGATTGAAATCTTGTCGGGTGGTTCATTCCTTGCTCTTGTTCACAACTGATGTGTGTTAGCTTTCTTTGGGCTGATACTAGCTGGAGTCAATATCTGTCACCATTCTCTTTGTACTTGATCCACTTCTAGCCTCATCAACCTTATACTATTATGAGTATCTCTTTGTGTCAACAATATTCATTGCAGAGGTCTCACTCTCTCTGTAAAGTTGAGTCTTAATGACAAACGTCATCCACTGCCCTTTTACTCTGGATATTCATTTTCTATTTAGTACTATATGGATCCATGAGAACCTGAAGGACTGGCAATGTCTCTCTCCAGGTACTCTCTTCTAGTAAGAACACTTCTGAAAATCTTTCTCTGTATACATCTGTCACAACTGTAGAGGTTGGAAAGTATTTTACAGACCTACTAGGCTTAAAGCAGAGAAGGTTGCTAAGGTTGAATGCCTTTGGTATGAATTGTACCTAAATGTAAAGAAAACAACAATCCTCACAATTGGACCAATAAATTACATCATGAGAAAAAATTGAAATTGTCAAAGGCTTAATTTTGCTTGGATCTGCAATCAAGAAATCAAATGACGTATTGCATTAAGAATATCTGCTGCAAAAGACCTCTTTAAAGTTTTAAAGAGCAAAGACATCAGTTTGAGGATTCTCCAACCTCACAATGATATATTTGGAGTCCGTATTTTTCATCTAGATGAGCCATTTCTACCAAACAAAATGTTTTCTAAAAAAGGTATTGTTATTGACAGGTGTTTTCAAGTGAGTTCTGACTCATAGCAATGCTGTATAGAGTTTCCAAGGAGCAGCTGGTGAGTTTGAACCACCAATCTTGTGGTTCAAATCGACCCTTGGCGATTTGACTATCCCATGGTGCCCCACATAAGTAAAATCTGTGCTAAGTTGAAACTTTAACAGGAACCCAACAAATAATTTAATTTTTTAGGTTTAAATATACAAGTATTTGGTTATATGAAATTTATGTTTTTCCAATAGTTCATGGTTCTAAGAGTAAACTACCTCTAAAAACAAGGTCTCCTTACCTGATATTCAAGACTTGCTGTTGTTAAATGCTTACAAGTCAATTTCAACTCATAGTGACCTTATATAGGGTTTCCAAGGAGCAGCTGGTGAATTTGAACCACTGACCTTGAGATTCAAACCAACCTTATGGTTCAGTGCTTTATGCCACAGTGCTACACCGGACTCCAATAATGAAGATGTTGTTGTTTTTGTTAAGTGCTGTAGAATCGGTTCTGACTCATTGCAACCCTGTCTAGGATTTCCAAGGAGCAACCAGTAAGTTTGAACCACCGACCTTGCAGTTCAAACCAACCTTGTGGTCAAGTGCTTATCCTACAGCACCACACCAAAGCAAATACAAAAGAGCCAAGAGTCAATGCCCTTGGAAGCAAGACCAATCGTGGCTGGAAAAGGAAGCCTTAGTCTGAGAGTAAGGGTGTTTGAAAACCTGAAAAAATATATCTAGCAGGGCAAAGGACAATCATACCAACTCCAACTCCCATGCATAAAGGAACCTGTCCTCAGCCTGAGGAAACCCATCTA